GACAGAAGCACTGTATCTAATTCTTATATAAAGAAAGAAAAAAATATATATACAAACACCAGTTAAAGCCATATTTTAATTTTATATGTAAATTTTAGAACAACCAGGAGATAATACAGCAGGATATTCCCAATTCCAAGCCTTGAAGGAACATAAGAACAGCCATACTGGTTCAGATCAAAGGTCCATCTAACCCAGTATCCTGTCTTCTGACCGTAGCCAATGCCAAGTGCTTCAGAGAGATTGAACAGAACGGGTAATCATCAAGTGATCCACCTCCCTGTTGTCCACTCCCAGCTTCTGGCAAACAGAGGCTAGTAGGGACACTGTCACACTCAGACCATGGGGTTGTATCCCTGCCCGTCCTGGTTAATAGCCATTGTTGAACCTATCCTCCGTGAACTTATCTAGTTCTTTTTTAACGCTATTATAGTTTTGTCCTTCACAACATCCCCTGGCAATGAGTTCCACTGTGAAGAAGTACTTCCTTTTGTTTGTTTTAGACCTGCTACTTATTCATTTCTTCCCCTAGTTATTGTGTTATGTGAAGAAGTAAATAACATTTCCTTATTCACTTTCTGCATGCCAGCCAATATTTTATAGACCTCGATCAAATCCCCCCTTAGTCGCCTCTTTTCCAAGCTGAACAGTCTGTCTTTTTAATTTCTCCTCATATGGAAGCTGTTCCATACCCTTAATCATTCTTGTTGCCCATCTCTGTACCTTTTCCAATTCCAATATTTTTATTTTTTTAGTTGGGGTGGCCAGATCTACACACAGTATTCAAGATGTGGGCGTACCATGGATTTATATAGCGGCATTATGATTTTATGTCTTATCTATCCCTTTCCTAATGGTTCCTAACGTTCTGTCAGCTTTTTGACTGCTGCTTCACATTAAGCAGATGTTTTCAGAGAACTATCCACAGTGACTCCAAGATCTCTTTCTTAAGTGGTAACAGTTAATTTAGACCCCATCATTTTGTATGTATAACTGGGATTATATTTTCCAATATACATTACTTTGCATTTAATTTCCTATATCAGTTTGAGCCTTAATGCAAGAACTAATAACTTTTACCGGTAAATAAAATTCATGCAGAATATTTGCTCACTATCATTGTCCTTCCCAAATCACACCAATCACTTTCAAACACCCACATATAAATTAAAATAAAAAAGTATTACTGTGACCGGGGTCCCAATGGAGAGCCAGCGTGGTCACTCAATTAGGGTGAACTGCAAAGACTGGGGCAGACAATCCCCATAAAGCTGGTGGATATTCCAATGCTTAGATTTACCAAGCCAGCATAAAACAGCTTCTTTATTACCTTACTGGTTACTCAGAAGTCCAAACAACACTGTTCCCTTAAAGTGATCCAATCTTAGGCCTCCATCTAGGTACCCACGTCAAATATGATGAAAATTTCTGTAAATCTTATTTCATCACATAAAAGAATAGATTGTACCAATCCCAAAGGATCTGACACATTACCTCCCAGGTTTATGAATGTTTCAGATCTTACCCAAATACATGCTACAGCCAATTCTTATTTAATAAATTTTAGTTTAGTTAAAAACAAAAGAGAGACTATGGGTAAAAGATCATTATACACACAGACATGAGTTCAATTCATTGAGGTTCAGATTCATAGCAGAGATGCTGAGCTTTGTAGTTGCAAAAAGTTCCTTTAGAATTCAGTGCATAGGTCACAGTCCAATGTCCAAATCTCATATTCAGGGCGCACCAGCATAACTGGGACCTCAGGCTTGCGACTCAAACTTACCCTGATGAAGTCTAAGCAGATCTGAGATGACAGAATCAGGACCCAAGGATTTTTTATACAATTTCATGTCCTCTTTGACAAGTTGGGATTTCCTCGGGGAACAAAAGATAATTAGGATGACTTTGAAGGAGGTCCATCACTGGTACTTAGCTATACGAATTAACAGACGGCCATTTGCTTGTTCCACTACCATTCACAGTTCATTTCAAAGAGAGATGAATACCGAAATGTCCCATGTTTACAATTCATTTAAACGATAGGATCTTCTTTGGACCTCTGAATGATCAGAATACACCATAGACAGGGACTGTTGATTACATTGTTGACCCTACTCATACATATGTAAATACACAAAAACACAAACATTATCTCCCCACATGTCTTTTGAGGTTATTTATTTTGCAGGATGTGTAACCCTTTCTAGCCATGCGTCACAATTATGTTTTGGAAAATATAAGCAAGCAAATATAGGCCGTCTTAATTTGTATAACCCATTAAAAAGTTACAAAGTCTTAAAGTAGTTGAGTTCCCCCTCAGACGTTCTTCTAAAACATGGACTAACTAACAAATTAAAGAAGGAATTTGTTTTCGCACTAGCTTTAAAAAAAGGAAAGACCAAAAGCTTTTAAAGTGATAATTGGAAAGAAAATATTACAATAAATTGGCCAACATGGGTTTCCTATCAGCTCTAAGACACCTGAAGGTGTATTTCCAGTAGATAAAAATGTTGTTTTTTTCCTATGGCAATGTGTTTTCTTTTCCTATTAAGTTATTTGGTAATTAGAAATGAAGTCTTAAACATTATAATCTATTTATACAGTGCATTTGATATTTCTTCAGCACAAATGAAAACACGCTCCAGTTCAAGGTACTAAAGGTGTAAAGATTCAAAAGATAAAAATGAATTTAAAAATTGAACTTGTATTTACAAATGACTAATCTAAAAGCCTGTTTTAGCCTCTGGAAACTGTAAGGGCGGAAAAGTGTGTTGGGTCACTACAAAAACTAATTTCCCCCTACTGTTACTCACACCTTCTTGTCAACTGTTTGAAATGGGCCACCCTGATCACATTGGCCTCATTACCAGTACAAAAGCGATTTCTCCTCGCTTGGTATTCTACTGTTGAGAATAGCCCACTTCCACTTTAATTGAATTGTCTTGTTAGCACTGATCCCCCACTTGGTAAGGCAACTCCCATCTTTTCATGTACTGTGTGTATATACCTGCCTACTGTATTTTCCACTCCATGCAGCTGATGAAGTGGGTTTTAGTCCACGAAAGCTTATGCCCAAATACATTTGTTAGTCTCAAATATTAAGGAAGTTAGTAAAGAGACCTGTTCTAAGGCTGTAACAACCTGGTAGGATGAAGAGCACTCCAGGAATTATGTGTTTGTTTTTTAAAAAGGCCCAGGCCAAGGGTACATTGACTAGATCAAGAAAGAAAACATGTTTATTTTCTGATTGAAAAGCAGAGATATGTACAATAACTTCCTTTGATTTCCATCCGGAGCAACTGAAATGTAGGGAAGCACTGACTGTTACACTGAAAATAAAACTGATCAGCTTTGTGAGAGAGACTTAAGGAGATCAGCAATCCTTAGGTTTCTTCTCTCCACAAAGGCGAGCCACAAACTGCTCTCATCCTGTCAGCTGGGTAAGGAGGAGTTATTTACTCACATGGAGTGCTTTGAGTGCACCTCTGTTCCCCGCAGACGCGGATTTACAGTAAAACACAGGGTGCCCTGGCATGGGGCCCCTCAACGATGGGGGGCCCAGGGCCAGGCAGCTGCGGGGGCAGAAGCTTGGTCCTGCCGGCTCCTGCTGCAGGCTCTGCCCCCACCGGCATCCAAGCTCCCCACTTCCCCGCCTCATCCCCCGAGTGTTACGCGTTCCTGCCCCTCCTGTTCCCTCCCAGTGCTGCCCCCACCACCGAACAGCTGTTTGCCGGCACTTAACTTGCTCCAGGAGGGAAGGGGAGGAGCAGGGCCCCAGGGCACTCAGGGGAGGAGGTGGAGAAGAGGCGGGGGTGGAGCCTTGAGAAAGAGGGTGGAATCGGGGTAGGACGGAGCAAAGGTGGGGCCCCTGCACTCCCCCTACCCCCCTGATGTGAGCTTCTCAGGGCTGGGGTGGAGCAGGGAGCACCCCCACGATCCCAGTCCACACCCCCTGCCCTGACTCCTGCACCCCCCTCACACACCCTCAGCCCCCTGCCCTCCCTGACTCCTGCACCCCCCTACACATAACCAGCCCCCCTACACCCCATGCCCTGACTCCTGCATGCACACACACATCCCCACCCTGAGCACCAAACGGGAGCTCCTGCACCCCCCTCCCACATTCCCACCTGCACCCCTCACACCAAACGGGAGCTGCCCCAGGTAAGCACTCCACACCCCAACCTCCTGCCCCAACCCTGAGCTCCTCCTGCATCCTAACTCCTGGCCAGATCCTGCACCCCAACCCCTCAGCCCCCTCCTGCACCCTAACTCCCTCCCAGACCCTGCACTCCCAGCCCTGAGCCCCCTCGTGTACCCTAAACCCCGGCCAGACCCTGCACCTTAACTTCCTCCCAGACCCTGCACCCTCAGCCCTGAGCCCCCTCCTGCACCCTAAGTCCTGGCCAGACCCTGCACCCCAACATTTTTTTACATTTTTTTTTTATAAAGCGCTCTTATCCAATAGTTAGCTAATGGTACAAACAATATTTGGAAAGATCATTAAGTGGTCCGCCGAGACCCTCAGCAATTTTCAAGTGGTCTGTGGAAAAATAAGTTAGACTACAAAAACAATCAAGATACCTCACTTTATTTTCATTTACTTCCTATTACTTATAGGAGGAGGATGAAGGGAAAAAAGAAAGAAAAACAGGGGCACAGGGGGAGATAAGAGAGAATGTTCTTTTTCTTGGCTGGGTCCCAAGGAGGGGCTCCAAAAATGAAGCTGAGCACAGGGCCCCACTAACTCTAAATCTGCCACTGGTTCCCAGGGCTGCTAGCACTGCTTCTGGCTGGGAGGGCTGGCAGGGGGGTTTCTAATGGGGCACAGGCTCTCAGCTGCCCAGCTGGTGGGGGCATTGGGACCCTCACTAGACTCACTCTGCAGACAGCGATGCAGACAGCTCTCCCTCTCCTTCTCCCAACCACAGAGCAGCAGCACACACAGCTGGAAAACTTACATTTCCCACAGGCTGGAGCCCAGAGGAAGGCGCGGGGGGAGCGGGGGAGATCTGTTGTTCCAGCTCTGTAGGGACAGTCCTGTCAGCCTTCCGGGTCCTCCTGCGAGACCGTGGAGAAGCAGTTCATTTTCCTGTGTGCACTCTCGGCTGTCAGAGACTCACGCTGTGGACTTGGTTACATGACGCCTGGAAGTTCTGTTTCCAAAGCCCTGTTCTTCCCAAGGAGAAGTCGAGGAGGAGGAAAACCAAGGAGCAGTAATCCGATCTCACTGAGGGTAAGGAGGCTGAAATAACAGTTATAGATTCTCCTCAAAGAAGGGCTAATCTGCGCCTGGAATCTCCTCAAAGAGCACTAATAATATTATAGTCTGCACATGTCCTTTTGCATCTGTGGCTTGGGTGGAGAGGGGAGGGGAAGCCGGTGACTGATGTGTATGAAAAACATAAGGTTAAAAAGGTGTTTGACAACTGTTTAAAAACAGCCTAAGGTGGTCTAAGCATCCTGGATGAAAACCAGTCTAGCTAGCAGGATATAGATATGAAATGGAGCAACTCATACAGTTTTTAGAGGTAGACAATATAAAGTATCTGTGTAACTTTATTTGTATCAGAGATTAAATGGAAGCATCTGATTCTTGCAGGGTAAGGTCTGGTGAGTTGTTAGCACCCTTCAGAGTATTCATTTGAGCAACCTATTTGGCACTCTTAGAACAGCTACCTAGATAGTCCTTTAAAACGGCTCTCTTTGCTCTTGATTTGTTGTAAATGTAACACAGTGTATAAAACAAGTTTGCACATACAATTATGAGAACTGCGTGGTAATACTAGTATAGATTTTTTTCTTAATTAACAGAAGGCCAGCTCCTCAGCTGATATATTTTGATATTTACTCTACTGAAGTCAAGGGTGTTACACTCACTTATACCAGCTGTGGGTCTGTCCCATTTCCCCCCCCCCCCCGGGGGTTGATTAGAGGTGGTCGATTTGATTGCATCTTATTTAGCTCACAAAGAGAAAATACCCGGGGTACTTAGCCTAAGGGAGAAAGCAATAACAAGAACCAAAGGCTGGATGCTGAAGCCAGACACATTCAAATAAAGCACAGGTTTTAAACCAGGTTTTTAACCACTGCAACAAACTACCAAGGGCAGTGGTAGATTCTTTGTCTTCAAATCAAGACCGGATACTTTACTACAAGATAAGTTTGAGCCAAACACAAGTTATTGGGTTCAATACAGGGGTAACTGGCAGAAATTTAATAGCCTGTGATATACAGGTGGTCAGACTAGAACAGGGGTAGGCAACCTATGGCATGCTTGCCGAAGGCAGCACATGAGCTGATTTTTCAGTGACACTCACACTGCCTGGGTCCTGGCCACTGGTCAAGGGGGCTCTGCATTTTAATTTAATTTTAAATTAAGCTTCTTAAACATTTTAAAAACCTTATTTACTTTACATACAACAATAGTTTAGTTATATATTATAGACTTCTAGAAAGAGACCTTCTAAAAACATTAAAATATATTACTGGCACGCGAAACCTTAAATTAGAGTGAATAAATGAAGACTCAGCATACCACTTCTGAAAGGTTGCTGACCCCTGGACTAGAATGATGTGATGGTCCCTTCTGGCCTTAAACTCTTTAAATCTACAATTGATTATTAAAATAAATAAATATACAAAAATCCCACAAATAACACAACTGGCTGTGCATTTTTTTTTAATAGCGATCTTTCAAAGAACAATAGATTTTTATTTTAACTTCAGTTAATGACACACCAATTTGCATGCTTCCGAAAATTGGTGGGATTGAAATCAGTTACAATTGTAATTTGTACATGTTGTGATAATTCCATCTGTCCATCAGAATTTGTTACTAGAAGAGGTAGGGGGATGGGGAGAAGCTGTTGTAAGCCAATATATGTACCCATATCTAGCAAGTATATATTTGTATAATGATCTTTTATTTAATGGTGACCTAAATGGGGAAAGGAAAAGCATTTGCTGCTTTTTGATGTAAAGAAGACATGGAGAATGAGAGAGTGGATGCGGGATAGGGAAAGCTGAGCTTCTGTTTGCTTTATTTTTTAACTTTGGAAGTATCGGGAATAGAAAGTCTGGCTTTGCTGCAAGACTTGTCTGAGATCTCAGAATCATTTCAGTGGGAGGTAATCAGTCTAGAACAAATAAGTCTTTTCAGAGAAGTGTTTCTCAGTTCTTCAAGTTAAATGGATGTTTTCAAGAAAAAACAACAAACAAGAATTTTAAACCTACTGCATGATTTAATAGAAATGTTTATGATCAGATTTCTTCCTCTGTGTACTTGTGAAGTCATAATTATGCCAATTTCTCAGTTGCCATAGTGTCTTCTAGGACACAAGACCAGAAGTTTCTAATATAGAAAGCTATACAGCAGGGAAAAAAGCCATCCAAACTTGTTTTTGAGAAGAATAGGAAATCACCAATGTCAATTTTATATATCAAACAAGATTAAATCAATTTTTTTACACTTTTCATGTCCTCTATTAAATAAGGACCCAAACTATGTAGAGCAGTGGTTTGCAACCTTTTTTCATTTGCAGATCCCAAAAATTTTTTGAATGGAGGTGCAGACTCCTTTAGAAATCTTAGACATAGTCTACGGAACTCCAGGGGTCCACGGACCACCAGGTTGAAAACCACTGTTCTATGGTAAGGACATTCTTTCACAGACCCATTACAAACAGTCTGTGGACCCCCCAGGGTCCCTGGACCACAGGTTGAAAACCACTGAAGTAGAGAGATCATAAACTACTAGCAGGAGTCCTAGGGTGGGCCAAAGACAGGACGTACCAGGCACTGGGACACAGTGGGGAGCAGCAGTAAGATTTAGAGATTGGAGTACTAGGACCACAGCACTATCCCCCAGCTGCATGAAGCAAGAGCTCTAGGGATGACTTCCTCCCAGAGTAACGTCCAAAAGTACCCCCACTTCCAATCTGTTGGGAGGAACAGGAATTGTGCTTCACTCATCTCAGCTGCCTGCTGACACCAGCAGAACCTTTATTCCTGAGTGAACTGTAGTAACCATCGCTAGCCCTGTGCATTTCCTCTCTGTATCAAATGGCACATAGTGACTAGTTCCTGTGCAAATACATAAGCAGACAGCGCTAGAAATTTCTTTACCCCATGCTACCCCCATTCCTCTTGCAGAGGAGCAGAGGCCAGTCACAACTGCAACCAGGGCCGGCTCCAGGCACCAGCTTAACAAGCAGGTGCTTGGGGCGGCCAAGGGAGAGGGGCGGCACCTACGGCAATTCGGTGGCGGCAGGTCCCTCACTCCCTCTAAGAGCAAAGGACCTGCCGCTGCCGATCGCGGCTTTTTTTTTTTTTGCTTGGGGCGGCAGAAATGCTGGAGCCGGCCCTGACCGCAACCCCTACAATCCCCATGATTAACACCATTAGTAACATTACCAGCCACAGAAAAGACAGGGCACTTTATTGGCATGCTTACATGCCTATGTGACATCATATATCTAAGGCACTTATCTCTGTCGTACAGAAATACTCACACAATATGCAATTCTTCTTCTAGCCATTACCCTCAACACGGTTGGATGTGCACTCTTTCAAATATCCATCAGTTGATTATGGCTGAATTATGGTTGGATTATGATCCACCAGTTGAATGTGGATGGTATTTGCTGTTTGGCAAATTCCTTATTCAGTTGTGTCATTGCTGGTAGATTCTAGTTTTATGGTTTTATTCCATGTGATGGAAAACCTTGGTCTAAGTTCAACCCTGGTATAACTGTTCTTCTCCATAGAGTTACATCAGGGATGAATTTAGCCCATTTGAAGCATAAAGACAGATTGTTCAAATCTGTATCCATCTGACTTAGCTGTGTTTATTTTAAAACTTGTATTTATTTTATATTGTGAGCTACGGCCTATGGCTAAAAGGCTATATTAATTAACCAGTTACTGATAGATTGTTCATTACTGTGTGTGGCTGTGCGCTATCATTTCCTCTAAAGATTTATTTGGGAAATGGAAAGAAGTTCTGTTTTTAAATTGCAGTCGCCCCCCCCCCCAAGAACAGAAGTGATAACAGGACACAGGAAATAACTTGCAATTAACTCTGTTTTCCTGTGCTTTCCTTGAATCTTGCTGAAAGCTCATAACTCTGAGTATTTACTTTCTTCACAGAAATTGTTCTCAGAAACAGTCAGTCGGTTTGGCTGATGTTGGTAATCCTTGTTGCACACTAGGAATATTGAAAAAGCAGTTTGGTTACTCTTGATTTCAGTTTAAATAACTAAAAGGCACCTAACCAGGGCTCTAGGCACCATAACATACCACTTCATACAATTAAATCTCAGCAGCACTTGTACAGGAAGCCAGCCAGCCTACTAGCCACACACACAAAAACTTCTTTTTTGCCCCTTCATCATTCTAGGAAGCGTACTTTCAGCCCTCTTCATGTCTGGTGAAAGAAATACCTTTTGTAGCATGCTTGGAAGGTTACCAAATTTCAGTCTATTTTGGGCAGAGGAATGAAGCAAGTTCCAGAATCCTAGCACCCTCATAGAGAATGTCCTGCTAGCTGGCACCTCCATTTTTTAGTGAAGAGAATCCAGTTTGAGTGCCGCTGCGGCATAGGAGCTGACTTTTTTATTTTTCTCCACTGCCCTGAGGCCCCATCCCCACTCTGCCCCCTCCCATGAAACCCCACCCTCACTTCGCCTTTTCCCACCCCCCTTCTGCCCTCCACTTGCTGCTCTCTGCGCTCCCCCAAGCCCCTCCAGGCACCAAACAGCTGATTGGCAGCCCCACCAAACTGATCTGTGGTGCTGGTGCAGTGCTGCTGAACATTTGTGGTTGGTGGGTGCTGAATACCCACTATTTTTTTTCTGTGGGTGCTTCAGCCCCGGAGCACCCATGGTGTTGGCACCTATGCCCTGCGAGACAACGGATGTGGCAGTATGATTCAGGGTGCAAGAGGTGATCCTTCAGCTAGTCCAGGTCCAGGCCATTTAGGTCATAACCAACACCTTAAATTCCACCCAGAAACCAACAGGCAGCCAGTGCTGATCCCAGAGACCTGGTGACATATGTTCTCAGTGAAATAACTGCCTTAATAAAAAAGCAGCGACATTCTGCACCAGCTTCAGCATCTGAATAGTTTTAAGGTGTAGCCCCACAGAGTGCTTAGCACCAGTCTAATCTTGAGGTAACAAAAGCATGGGTAATAGTGGTACGGCCCACATCCATTGGGAAAGGTTGCAACTGTCT